GAATATGTCCAATCATGAAACACCTGTGTTGTCATCAGAGCTCTTGAGGCTGAGCTTGTGCAGTGCCTGACCCAGATGGCTCATATTGTTTTGAGAAGTCATCATTCTGAGCCCACCTAACTGATCCATGCACAGCAATCATTCTCACAAACCATTGTTGATGTCAGAGATGGCAGACTTACTAACTCTGTGGAACTTTCCAGATCTCCATTCTTCTTCAGGTGACATCCAGTGTGATAACATGAACGTGTACAATGGAAAATGAAACCTGAGGAGTTAATAGAAGACTGCTCTGCTGAAAAAAATCCAGCACTGCTGGTCATCAGGTATGTTGTACGTGCTGGGACCAACATGGGATGCTGGTTGCTGATGGGAAGTGGGAGTGCTGATGGACCAACTACACCAGCTCAGTTTTGCTTGAGAACAGCATGACTATGCTGGTTCACCAGCTAGACTATAACAGCCCTGTGAGCAGTTTGCCTCGGTGTAGAGGTCTTTTTGGTGGACTTACTTTCCATGGATTTTATCTGTGTTTAAAGGTTGTGATTGGAACCATGTGTAAATATGAAAGTTTCAATGTTTAATGTAACATAATTAAGTCTTACAAGGTTGTGACCTAACATGTTCATTGTTTGGCCCAGATTTAATTAGCTTTGATAGCAGTATTTGGATACTGTAAGTCGAGTGGAGTTCCACTGCTTGAATCAAAGCTGGACCAAATCAATCAATCAATCAATCAATCAATCAAACAATTGTTGTCAGGTTATATTAAGCAAGGGGGAAGTTCGGGGGACAATGCCCATTCACAAGGGTTTGGTTTCACAAAGATCAGCTCACTGATTTCCACCCGAACAATGGAGAAATGGAAGAACTCTCAATAATTGAACAGACCAGTGGTGTTACGCAACAGGCCTTACGAGTGGGCTGCCAGAGGGAAGGGCAGCGAAGCGAAAGAGAGGCTGATCCAGGGGACGGGTGCCTGGGAGTGTGTGGGAAGTAGGTCTGTGGAAAGATTTCAAATATAAGTGTAAATTGCTGCAATATTGTCATGCAATACATCTTGTCACCAAGGTCATTACGATGCTTTCTGCAGCCCTGTGATTTCACAAGTTAAGACATCCGTGAATATGCTCTCCTCCTGCTGTGCTTCCCCCATATGCGAACATATGTCGGCATAAAAGACACTGTATTTTTAGCCTAGTCTACAATAAGTCCCAGAATGCCTGTGGTAGCGAGCTTTTAGTCAGTGCATTCACGTTAGGTTGTGTGTGCGAGAGCGCACACGCTCGTCCTCCCCTGTAGGCGTGCAGGCCCCAGTTTCATCGTTCTGTGGCTGAATCACTAGCTCTTCACTCCCTCTCCTCTTTTCTGGCTACCTCTCCTTCTTTTTTTCCACTCTCATTTTTAGTCTCTATCTCTCTCACCCTCTTCTCTTCAGGTCTGTATATTTTTTCCTGCTTCTCTCCTCCCACGCCATCCTCACATGCACACCATCCTGCTTCTTAATCCATGTACACTCCTCAATAGAAAGTACACACCAGATCGCTTTTGATTGTACTGGCTATTAAAGGTAGTAAAAATAACAAGTGGACCATAATTAGTCTCTGCATTTGCCCTTTGCATTTGATGCTCATATATATATATATAATGGTATAATAATGGCAAATGTCTGATTGCAGTATGGTGAAGACAGGGCTTACATTATTTTAGTGGATAAACATACAATCAATCAATCAATCAATCAATCAATCAATATTTGTTGAAAATGGTAATAGGTGTAATACCTGTATTGTGATGTAGAAACATGAAACGATGAGTTTATCCAAAGACTTGCTCAAAATTAGGACATTTTTCACATTTTTGTACCAAACCTCACTTTTCCAACTAATAGTTCACCATTTGTAACCGGTCCTACTCGACCCGCTCTATTCTGGTGAAGGAGTCTCAATTATTCACTACAGGAAGCGAAAGTAAAAACTGAGCGCTGCATTAATGTCGCAGATCCTTTCAGAGACGATGAGCGCTGAATCTACTTCAACATGTGCTGATAACGGTGGGTATATCTTAATTTATTTTCTTAATATTTCTCTTGTGGTCCATATGTAGTTAAAAAACGAGAAGTATTTAGTGTTAAACAAGTTGCTTTTGAAATGAGGAGTTAGCTAATCTAACATCTTTTTATTATCCTCGCAGCGCTTCGGTTATGCGATGATGCGCTATGAAATTATTGTGGGGCAAATTAATTGTAATATTAATTAAATAATAAAAGTAGCCTTATAATAATAATTTAATACATTAATTGGAAATGCTAAATCTTGATATGGCCGATATGCTTTTGACGATATCTCTGGCTTTCGTTGACATCGCAAAATATCATCCACAACCAAATGCAAACCGGCATTCAGATCTGCCTTCGTTTATTTAGCAACGCCCAACTTCCTCCGATACAATCAATTGCCGAGGGATGAAACCAAATCCCGCCCTACATTTTTCTCATTCCAGAAGCCATTTCACTCGGATACGCCACAATAGACTATCGCAACATCCGTTCCGTGCCCTTTAAACTTTTGAAATGGAACAGAAATAACAACTCTTTTTTGAGGCATGGTCAGGATTTTAATTATTTTTATTTTTCAATGTGAATCCTTGAAGCTTTTCATTTATCCTAAAGTTTGAGTTGAAATGAATTTAGAAAAACATTCTTTAAAAACTGTAAAAAAAAAAGTGACTTAAAATGGTCATAGTGTCATGTTATAGAATACACCTTATCAGCACATAAATAGTCAACACATATTAAAAGTATGCCAACCACCAAAAAAAAAAAAAAAAATGAAGTGATTTGATTATTTAAGAATAAAAAAAATGAAGCTTTTCCCAGCATTTGCATGATTCATGTCAGAGCAACGTAAGCCCAGAGCTGCCTGCATGCATAATATCAAAGTGCTTTAGTTTCATTTATGGCATAACACTCATATGACAAGCCCAACATGGAAACCAGGCTTTGTTTTAAAAAGAAGCCATTTAATACAGAAATGCTTATGAATTCACCAGCATAAGGTATGTTTTGCGATAATAACCAGCTGCAGAACCGCAGAGCCATACAGCCGTCTGAGGACAGCAGCGCCAGGCCAGCAGTCTCAGACCGGTGTTGGTGTGGAGCTTATAGCATCATTAAGGGTAGGTTCAGTGGGTTCATTCATTAAGGTAGAGCTTATAGTTATAGTGAAGGGTGGGATATGCGATCGTCTGCACCACCCTAACTTCAGGTGTGACGCTGCTGTCCTAAGACTGCTGTGACGTGTGGTTCTGCAGTTAGATATATCCCCTGTTTTGCACCAGCTAGACCAGCACTATACCAACGCTAACCAGCATAAACCAGCCAGGACCAACATGGAATTCATGCTGGTTTATGCTGGATTTTTCAGCAGTGATGCAGTGATGGCAAACCCTTCCATCTTCAAAAGAAATCAAAATAATGCTAACAAAGTTAGAAGCCTGGATGATTATGAAAATACACAGAATAATTCCCACACATGATAAAGATTCAGAACCCTGTTCATTTTGTTTCTGTTTTTTTGTTTTTTTATCCATTCTGTATCACAGATGGTAAATTAGAATTTGATATTCTGTAACATAATATATTGACAAATTTTAATTATTGCCATTTTTATTTCCATATTCATAATCTACATAAATTACATGAAAAACTCTTTTTGGTCCACTGTTTTGTATTGTATTTTATTCTTTTTGTGTTTCTTAACACGTTTCTTAAACTGCAGATATTCACAGTAAATAAACCACTCTGGCATGTATTTCTTTTACAGAGTTGTATAAACGCATTGTCTTTGTAAAAATGTATTTTCTTAAAGAGTTTTCATCTCAGCTATTTAACTTGCTGGCAAAGCATCACAGTTGTGATGTTTAGTATTTAAGTGAATATAATAAATGCCCCAAAGAACGAATTAAAGGGTTGTAAAACACCTATGCTGGTGAAGGTGCTTAACACACATCCTTAGCGTGGACAAATCAACAGATTTCTTAGTCTTTAGATTCTTTATTTTACCTTTCGTACTTTGATGTCATTCTCGTTGCTAAACCTATAAATACATAAATTCTCATTAAAGTGCATTAAACTTTAAAAGACAACATGTACACTCAAATTAAAGGTTTTCTTTTTAGACCGCAACTCACATTGATATACGGATAATAAAGAATTGGCAGTTTCTACCAATTACAGTCCCTGATGCAGACCTGTGCGTATTATACAGCACTATTAGCGCTTGTGTTTTGCATCACTCAGAATTGTCTAATTGCTTTAAACAAAAACTGTGTACTATTTCTAAACTTTGTTTGTAATTATAGTTTTGTGGACTTATTTTAAATGGAAGTGTTTCACTTCTATTGCATACTCACTTTGCCCCAACTCGCTAAACCCACAGGACAGGATCATTTGACTGGATATGAAGTTGTGCATTCACAAGCATGTTATGCATGACCACACTGAGGTAGATCCAAAGAAACCAATGAGCAAAAAACAGCCATTGCAAAAGAATACATAAAGATGAAAAACACGTTTCATACTTCTTTGAAAAGCAATGTCTGATGCAGCGAGATGTACTTAATTCCATTTTATGTACAAGGATGTTGAGGGACCATGTCCTGAAATTCAATCCCAGCAGCTCTGGAATATCCCTCGACACATCATATGCTTAAGATTTGCAAATGTTTTACAGTAACTATTGCATGTAGAGACACTCTATGTCAGTTAGAGGACTGAAGGCACTATTAAATGACTTATTTAAATAATAATTAAATATGTAATCATAATGTATTAAATATAATATATATATATATATTTCAATATAATAATTACAATTATTTTATATAGATAAATAAATCGAATGATTAATTAAGCATAGTGTTGAATATGTACATTTAAAAAGCTTTAACAAATAAAGTGACACTTTTAAAAATGTAATGGAACAGATTTTAGATAGTTTGTTTTTAAAGATGTTTAAGAAAGTTGTGCTTTTAATGGGCAGTGGTTGGTGTCCAAGAGAGCCGTACTGTCGGCTTGGCTATGAGTGATGAAGTTCATATTAATGTCATGTATTATTAAAGCAAGATACATAGTACCATATCAAACAGACCTCAACGTTTCATAAAACATGCCATGATCTGCATAATTAATCAACATTCAGTTTGCAAATGACTTAAGGTAGCCTTAATGAGCAAATAAACAAGTACATAAATAAATGATGAACATACGGTACAAAAAAAAGTAATTGTTCTACATGCAAATGTAATTTTTGCAAATGAGTCACTGAATAACTAATAATATTTTGGGGTAAGGTGCATTTATATATCCAAGTACTCTAACCATCCGATTAATAGTTATTCTTTCTTTTACTTATTGGTGTCGATTGGCATATTTTAGACTACCATTCTTCAAACAGAATCAAAGCAACTCTTGTGGACTTGAGATCAAACATACGCAATGAAATAATTCATTATCAAAGGCCCAGTTTTAAGCATTCTGATATATGAATAGACTACAATATGTACAGTCTTGTAATGGCCTAGAATGACACTGGAAATCTATACATCTGTGAGACGCTTCACTTTATTTACGCAGTTCTGATTCGCAACTGTGCAGTTCCCAGTTCGCAGGTTTGCCTCTCGAAAATTATCAATGCTGTTATTGAGGTCATCGTCGATCTCCATGTATTCTGACTTGCTGACGACAGACGAGCTGCGACGACTGGAGTTGGAGTCGGACGCGATGTTCGGGTTGCTCACTGTGAGGAGCTGTGCCTGTTCATCTCCTTCGGTTTCTCTGTGATAGAAATAGTTAAAGTTGGACACAATCACAGGCACTGGAAGCGCAATCGTTAGCACTCCAGCAATGGCACATAGAGAGCCTACTATCTTGCCCCCAATCGTAACAGGGTACATGTCTCCATACCCCACGGTTGTCATCGAAACCACCGCCCACCAGAAAGCGTCTGGGATACTTGTGAAGAAGGAATCCTTCTCTTCGGCCTCGGCAAAATACACTGCGCTGGAAAACAAGATTACGCCGATGAAAAGGAAAAAGATGAGGAGTCCTAGCTCACGCATGCTGGCTTTCAGAGTCTGGCCCAAGATCTGAAGCCCCTTGGAGTGTCTGGACAGCTTAAATATCCGAAACACCCGAACCAAGCGGATGACCCTGAGAATGGCAAGAGATGTGGCCTGCTCTCCTCCACCCTTCACCTCCTTTCCACCGTCGGGGTCCTCTGCCAACTCCGTTCCGAGCGTTATGAAATATGGAATGATGGACACTATGTCGATCGTGTTCATCATGTTTTTGAAGAAGGCAGGTTTACTTGGGCAAGCGAAAAAACGGACAATCAACTCAAAAGAAAACCAAATGATGCAGAGTGTCTCCACGACAAAGAACGGGTCGGTAAAAATATTTGGTTTGTAGTAGAACGTGCTGTTGCCTATCACCTGGAGCCGTCCATGTGGATCCTCTTTCAACTCTGGTAAAGTCTCCAAGCAAAATATGACAATCGAAATGAGAATAACCATGACGGAGACAATCGCGATCCCTCTGGCAGGTCCTGAGCTCTCGGGATGCTCAAACAGCAGCCAAATCTGTCTCTGAAACTCATTCTCCGGCAGGGGGCGCTCTTCCTCACGAATAAAGCCCTCATCCTCGCGAAATTTTTCCATAGCTTCTTCTCCAAGCTCATAAAACTTAATTTCCTCAGAGAACATATCCAAGGGTACATTGACGGGTCTTCTTAACCTCCCTCCTGACTGATAGTAGTAGAGGATGGCATCAAAGCTTGGGCGGTTTCTGTCAAAGAAGTATTCGTTCCTTAAAGGGTCAAAGTAGCGCATCCTTTTTTTGGGGTTGCCTAGTAGGGTCTCTGGGAACTGGGCAAGCGTCTTGAGTTGTGTCTCAAAGCGCAGCCCTGAGATGTTGATGACCACCCGCTCGCAGCACTCGGGGGAATACTGCGAGTCCTGCGGTTGCCCCTGCAGAGTGGAGGACGTCTCATCTATATTATCTCCAGCAACCACCACAGTCATCCTGGAGATCAAACTCGCAGTACTGGATGGCAGTGGATGTTCAGGTGGGTTGAGTACGCATCCAATGCACTGCAGTTTGAATAGTCAATGACCCAACAGGACATCCAGCATCATGTTCCACCAAATGTCGACCATCTCCATGTCCAATGGAGCTCTGCATCTACTTCATAGTCAGCCAGAAAATGAAGGGGAGTAATAGGATACCTCTGATACCATGACAGAGATGAAATATGTCCTGTACCTAGATAAAAAAAAATAAAAAAAATCCACAGGGAAGTGATAAGAAATTTCTACTGATCCTAATGTATATTTTGAATCATATTAAAAAATAATATACAATAAAAGGTCTTTCAGAACACAAAGTTCCCAACAGGACCATCACGATTTGCCCGTATAAGAAAATATCAGATTTTAAACATCTTTGCTCTGTGAATTTCTTCAGTCTACTAGCAAGATATTCTAGTACAATGCACGTAACGTTCTGGTTAAAACTAATAATATCTAATACGATTCTAAGGATCGAATAAGATCTGATTGGGTGAAATAAATTTGAAATGGACTTGCTTGTCAAATAGATTTCCAAGTGTCCTGAAAGCAAGTTTAACCCTACAGAAGCAGACAGAACATATCCTCTTGTGAGACAGCTATGTAGAGAACATATGCTCTTGCTCTTGTATATATACACACATCACATGCATACTCAAAACATGCAATATGGTTCTTTATCATTATTTTTTTTTTTTAAATTTAACTAGCTCTAAGCAAATATCAGGACACTATTTGCCAATATGAATATTATTTATTTATAACGAAGAGAATGAGAGTGATACCAAATGATGCCAATGGGGATGTTATAAAATGACTGTCTTTGTACTTACGTGGGCAGTCAGATTGAGGAACAGTGCAGGAAAGATTGCGCAAAACCTCCTATGTGTAATTAAAAATAGATCTCACATTACAGCCTCACATTCATACAGCAAGAATAAAATACATCCACAATACACATCCTACTGCCGTCAGACAACAGCAAACTTGCAGTGCTCCTCAAACCGGTGCAGCAGAACAGTGGAGACACAAACAGAGAGAGAGAGAGCGAGAGAGAGGGAGGGGGAGCGAGGGAGAGAGAGAGAGAGAGTGAGTGGGTGAGTGAGTGAGTGGATGTGTAATGCGCAATGCAGACAGACTCCAGTATGTTGTCCTTTTCCACACATCAGATGGGACACACACTACAGCTGAAGGAGAAATTCCTGTTTAAATGGTATTTGTTTCTATCATTAGTGTGTCTTTTTGTTCACAAATTGCCATAAAAACAGATTAACATGTACATACTAATAAAGTTAAATATATGAATGCGCTAATTTGCATGCAACCTTAAACCAGATTTGTACACTTTTGGTATTTTATTTAGAGTAACAATGTTCATTTAAATTCAACAGTACTCTGAAAATTATTTTGGAGCATTGAGCAGACTGAATGTGTATTCGAGGCATAAACACTTTTAAAATGTGCTAAATCTAAATTAAAGCTATGATTCAATAAAATATTATTTAATGTGATTCAAGCAATCTGATGTCATTTGCTTCCACCAACAAAGGTACATTTAAAGGGTTGGATGAAGTAAAAACAACTGCACTTGTTTTTTCAAACCTGTGACCTTGGCTTTGCTAGCGCAATGAACTACTTATTTTGCTCACATTTACATACAAATTGTGCCATAAATCAGGGCCTATTGGTGTTTAACTTCTCTTGACATCTGTGTCTCCAGCTGATATACTTAAATCAGATTGCAAATAATTCGCCTGAGAGTCGATGGTTGATCATGTTAGAGTTTTCAGCATTAGATTGCATTTAGATGCCTTTTCATGTAGAAATGGGAACCAGTATCTGTTTGGTCAAAGCATCATTGAGGTGTACAATGTGAAGACTGTAGCTCTGTGAATACCATCCAGTCCTCAGCAGACAGCGCAATCGCTCTCGGTACAAGAGATCAACACAATTCTCCATGGCAACCAGGAGTTAGTAAAAGAGTGAGGAGAGGAGGAGGGAAAACAGGTTTACACACCGCTGCTGTCACTACAGCACAAACAGCAAACCTCACACCCAGTAACTTCTTCATTTCATTTCAGCAATTTGTGTATCATTTGCTACTATGAAATTGTATTGTGTATAGATTGCCATTATATTGGTCATTGGTCACAATGTTGTTGTTTTCTTTTCTTTGAAATGTCCGCTGGAAAGGTTGCAGAATCTGATTTCACCAAGTGCATCCTGGAGATCAACATTTTTGTTGATCCTGGAACAACATTCCAATCAACCAATCAGATTTGAGGGACAAGTTTAGAGTTTATGTCAAGTTTAGGCTTACAACCAAGGTTAGGTGCTTCTACATCAGTGTTATTCACCTATCATTTTTCTCGGTTTTTAGGGATAATTTATGAGTAGGGTTAGGATTAGGGAAAGGGATATGGTTTTCCATCGTTTTTATGTTTCGGGGTGGATATGTTGTAACCTGACTCCGCCAGATGGATTTGCTCCGCATATCCATCTGGAAACCTTCCGTTGAAGTAGTTTTGGTAAGGGGCGAAAATACTGGTTAGCTGATTGGCCTATGTTGGTGATAGACGGGCCAAATCAACCAATCAGATCAACGAAGCATATGACGTACTAACAGAGCGTATCTTTTCCTCTGAGAAAAGCCTCCAGAGCAGTGTTTTGCTCTTCTTTCAGTGAAGAAATACTAAATAAATCTACTATCGATAAATACTATCGATAAAACTTGCTCGATAGCCACGCTGATGCTAGTTTCATCCGCTGAAGCCGACATGTTCTTTAGACTGAACTGACGCGCTTCTCGTTGCGTCACACCTCAACCCGCCTCAAAGCCAGCGCTGATTGGACGTTCGTTTGGTGAACTGCTCCCAAATTTTCTTTAACGGAAAGTATCCAGACTGATCTGCGAGTGAAACCTTGAAAGCTCGCGAGATCAGGATGGTCTCACGAGGCTAGATATGTTGGTCCAGGATCAACAAAATATGTTGACCCAGGAACATGTCTAACTCGGCAAAATCAAGATGTGCAAAGGTCCAAAAGAAGAAATGAAGATAAGACATATAAATACTTAAGGAGTATGTCAAAAAGAGAAGAATAAAAGTCCTGTTTTAATCAATTATTTTGTTGTTGTCTATAACCTATTTTGCTATATCATCCTTTTGACATGAACAGTTTTCAGATGCCTCGGGTATGGCAGTTGTTCATCAGTACCTCCTCTTTTTGGGATATACCTCCTGGTTATATCTCATTCTTCACTTTATCTTTAAAGTCTACATTAAATAATGTTTGGGGAAGTTACAGCAGAAATCAACCTTTGAAAGAAGTAAACAACTTTAAGACATTTCAGTTCACTTTCAATAGTTGAGTGAGTATAAGAAGAGTTATGCCACATTAAATCTACATTGTGGTCCAACAGAGTTCTCTCTTCATCTGAACATTTTATTATTATTTTTGTAATTATATATATATATATATATATATATACTGTATATAATGAAAATTTTAATTGACCATACATAAAAAAAACTACAATGATTTATAGTGCAGTTTAAATATATATATATTTTTTAAGGATTTTTATTTTGCTTAAAGAGAATTTGGGGAAAATTTGCTTAACTGTCATGAAAATACTTAATAATTTAGCAATATACATATCGAATTTTGGGGTTAAATTTGACCCGGTCATGTACTTGCTGTTGCTTGGGAGCAGTTTGTATTGTGAAAAGCATTACAGATAAAAAAAAAAATGCATTGGATTTAATTCAAGGTCAGACTGCATTAAAGAGCACCTCACCACAAAACTCACTCCTGTTTTCTGACCATGTCGTGCTTTCTTTTCAAGAATGATAAACCCATTATAAGTGTGTTGCATGACCTTTCATAAAGTACAAGAACATGTTTTTACAGGGATCAACCTGATACTCTAAATTCCCCCTCCCCCCCCAAAAAAAAGAGCAATTATTTCAGCTGAGCTTTATGAATAAAACAATGTAACGTAATTAAACGTAGATTCAGGAATACTCTCACGACCGGGTGCTAGCCTACATGAAACAAATTCCTCAGAGTATTTCTCTGGAAACCTGCTGATGTGGACCCTCTGCTTTTTGCCTAGCAACAGTCGCTAGTGTACTACACGTCTCTGACAGCCCCGTTCCTCATTTCATTTCAAGGATCCTCCGCAGAGCTCATTTCATTTTGAAAGGGTGATCACATTTACGTGAACGCTCTTGAGGATTATGGGTCCAGTTTGTAAACTCCCACAGATCCCCTCACACGAATGAGATCTGCGAGCAGCATTTAGCTTCCCCGCGTTCATTTCAGCAGAAGGACAGCTGAGGAGAGGTGCAGTCTTACAGTATGAATTTAGCACCCCTCCTCCACTCTCATTCATGAATGCACTGGGCCGTTATATAACACTTGTGCTCTATTTAAAAGAGCCGTAGCAATGAAGATGGGCAAGAGACTCACGCGGTGCCCTTCAAGATGAACGCTGGAGCCCTAGGGGGTGTTGGGTCAGACCGTTAGGTGCTATTATTAGCTGCGTGTCACACCACAACCAAAGGAAATGGAGTAGAACTGACAGATGTGTGTGTGTGCATTCATTGGTAATGTGCTTTCGTGTTTGTGTGTGTGTGTGTGTGTGTGTGTGTGTGTGTGTGTGTGTGTGTGTGTGTGTGTATGTGGTGATTGCATCATGAAGCGCACAACGGCCAGATTTACTGCACTGCACCATTCTGCGCTAAACACACGAGACACATCACTTACCTCGTTTTCTACATCGTATTCAAATTAGTTTCTGTCCCAGAGACTGCTTAGCTGAGCGTACACATTTGACTTTACAAGAGAATGTAATAATGTCGTCATTGGGTTTATTTTTAGGTCCCATGTCTTCTGGGCTCCCATGGGAGTCCTGTTGACACACACACACACACACACAAAAATATCTGTAAAATTACCACATTCTATCAGATTTATTTTTATTCTCATTTAATTCTCATACAATTTTTTAAAATTCTTTTTGTAATATCTGTTTGTTAAACAATACTGGCCAGCTGGACACAGTACCTGGCTCAACCATTGCATGAGGCAAGTCATTATTTTTTGTGCAATTCAATTTGGTGATGAAAGTGATGCCAGTTTTCTTTCTTTTCTTTCAGGAACTTTAGCATTTGTAGGATTCATTTAGTTCTGGACCCAAGAAATAGAGCACATTGTGCACCCCTGTGGACTGTATAGTGCCCTCTGGTTTGCACCAAACCCCTTAATATTGGGTTTCTCCATTGTCATTCTCATGTGGGAAGATCAATCACAACAAAAATTAATGGCAGCAAAAATAGAATATGTGATTAGCAATGGAGTCATCAAAGTGTCAATGTTATGGAGGAAGCATATTGGTAAAAAAATATTAGTGATGTTTTTACTATTAGTAGCTGTGTTTACATAGACCCTAATAATCAGTTTGTTATCAGGCTAGCACAGTCAGAATAAAAAATCCACATCAATCGGAATTGGTCAAATCCGATTTAAATTTCATTGGGTTTGTAAGGGGTGGTTTAAACCTTTTCTAATGCGTTCGATAGGACATGTAAACATTTGATCAGATTGAATACTGAAACTGGAAAATTCTGCGCATGTGCAATGATGTAGATATGGCGTAAATTGACGTATGACGCATAGAACAAGCTGTTGATGAATATAGTGTAATAAAATGACTGCTGTGTTGTTGTAAGATTCTCCTTCCATCATCTGTAAAGTGGTGCAGGACAACGTTGTCCCAGAAGTCCTTGCTTCGGACTCTCATCCATAGATGCCTTGTTAAGGATGCAGAAAGGGGCATTTGTACTGCTTGATGTGATTAGCAATGTGACAATGAATCACAAAAGCAGACTTAAGATTTATCTATTTCGGGTCCTAATTAGGAGACAATGAGCACATGAAGCTTTATGCCGTGCTTCTTATATAAGTAGCACGGCATAAAGCTTCATGTGCTCATTGTCTCCTAATTAGGACCCGAAATAGATCAATATTAAGTCTGCTTTTTAAAACAAAGAAAATATGCATAGGTGGGGGAT